ATTGATGCATTATTGTGGCACAACAAAGTTAAACGTCCAATTAGTCAAAACACACCTCTTAGAAATGATAATGGAACGTGGACAAGAACCATTTACAATAAACGTTTAAGCCAAATGATGTAAGTTCCATTGGTCCTAATGCCGTTGATCCATTACCGGTCAATTGCTGGAATGTGGACAGATTGGAAATGGGACCAAACACCGCCGATTACCGACGACGACAACAATAGATCCAGTCGCACGTCAAAGGAGCGTGAGCGAAATGAGTTTAAAGGACACAGACTAAAAGGAAAGAGTAATTTAGTTAACGTTTCTATTCAAAGTGACTGTATACGATGGGTGTTAGTAGTGTTAACGTTATTAGGGACTATAAGTGAGGATGAGTAAGAAATGTGACGACATGACGCGCAAAACATAGAAGGGCATATTGAAGAATGGATCGAGCAATTGGTGGATAATATCCACTGGATATAGAAGGCACAACGATGAAACGCAAGACTGTATTGTTATCAGGGTTCCAGCGTCATTTGGTAAGAGGTTTTTGATGGGTAACTTGTGAAATAACAGAATTACCACATTACCGTTGCACGATTGATATTAAACGTGCTGTGCCTATAATGGGTTGGGCTCTATTAGGTTGGGTCCCATTTTACTGCGACACAAATAAAAACAGAAACGAATAAAAAGGAGCTTGGGATTGGCTAATCAAACAACTTCTAGGCAAAGTAAATTGTAAATAATTCTTTCCAGTAAAAAGAAAGGGGTGGGTTTTAGCAATTGGAAATGAAGGTGTGGTGACCGCATTCGTAATGTCCGCGTGATCTACCACAACTTGAACAAATATAAATACCTGAACAACGCACATTTATTTTTCAAGGATGTATAATGATGTATATGAAATGTATGATGCTAGTAAAATGGTCAATATAACAGATAATGTCTAAAATACCACGTTTAGAAATTTGTGATTCGATGTTCATCGTAAAAATTGTAAATTAAAAGCCAGTTATATACGATGATAAATGTTTTATTTTATTAAAACAGGGTAATTCGGTGCAACAATGTTTCAGCTGACAATCCAGCCTTTATCAAGCACGACTATGAAAAGTGAAGGATCTCGTAAACTCCACTGGATTGTTCGATTCTAAATCTATGTTTGGTATTGTTATTAAGTTTGCTAATTTTTAAGCCTGATGAAAACGCAGGAATGGTTAAATTTTTGAAGATTATGTTTAAATTTAAAGTCAAGGGAGGGCGTGTATGGAACAGATATGTATTTAATTGGTGAAGTAAAATGTTAAATAGTAAATGTTAAAAAAATGTGAATTATGAGTTTTATTATAAATTTTCTGAATATTATCGATTCTGATATTATTTTTATTATGGTTTTTAGTTCTGTATTATAATTATTATCATTAAGAGGTGTGTTAAAAAGCCTATTAAACATGAAACTGAAGGCAGCTTCTTTATGCTGTTTGCAGTTAAAAGAGTTTTTAGTGGTAGTCCATTTTCTAAATATGTTAAAGTTAAGAGTGTTATCATTAAGATTTTTAGTGATTGTGAGATCCAAGAAGTTAATGCTATTCTTAAATTATTAAAAATGTTTATTACCCCTATAAACTATCAGGATGTCGACTACATATCTGTCGTAGAAGGTTATGTCTCTTGTGAATAAATTATATTTATTGGAGAAAAGTTCATTTTATAAAGAATTTACAAAGTTCTCTGAAATGATACCTGAAATAGGTGATTCCATGGGAAGCCCTTGTTTCATATGGGTTCACATACGACTCCAAGTAGGGCGATGAATGAATTAATTTCTATAATGCTCAAGTTTAAAATGTGAAGGTTATTTATTAAGTGTTCTTTGACGATTTGAAGTGAAGTATTTATGGGTATATTGGTGGATAAGTTTTTTATGTCTAGTAAAATTAGTCTGTGTTTATCAGTGATATGAATGTTTTTTAGCTTTTCGATAAGTTGTGATGAATTTTTTATGTTATATGAAAATTGATTTTTAAATGTCTTGTATAAAAAACTTTGTATTGTTTTGGCTATTTTATTAGAAGGTGCATTGTAGTTAGCAATGATGGGTCTATACTTTTATCTTCTTTTTGTAATTTAATTAGGCTTTTGAGAGTTGGTATTAGAGGATTCATAACTATGGAGTTGTATATGTTTATGTTAAAGGTATGTAATTCATTTTGATGGTGTTTGATGCATTTCTTTAGTCTATTGTTAAAGATGTTAGTGGGGTTTTTAGTTATAGTGGTAATGTTGTTTTCTCTAAAAAAATCTTTAGTTTTATCCATGTAGGTATTTTTGTTCATTATTACATATCCTACGTTTTTATCACCCATCATGACAATAATTTCGTTATCATTGATTTTTTGTTTAAGGAGTTTGAGATCTTTACATATCGAGAGAAATTTGTACATTTTGTTTTGTTTATCATTAATGTTATTTATAATGTCGTTATTTTCAAAAAATATTTCTTTGATATTAACATTATTCAGTAGCTATGACTCTACTTTAATGGCAAGATCCAGAAGTCTGATGATCCTGGGTAAAGAAAATTTGTGGTTTAGGTTGAAAATATCTAGTTCTTTAGAAGATTTATTTTTCTCCTTCACTTTTCATAGTCGTGCTTGATAAAGGCTGAATTGTCAGCTGAAACATTGTTGCACCGAATTACCCTGTTTTAATAAAATAAAACATTTATCATCGTATATAACTGGCTTTTAATTTAAAATACCACGCATTATACACCTGCTAAAATATTGATCAAATTCAAATATAGATATTTAGGTTATATTATATCTTCAATAATAAGCCGGATAGAAGAAAATAACACTAGCATTGATCAACGTTGAGTTAGTTGCGCCCAAGTTTTCTGACACTCGTGAATCCAACATAATTGATGATTAAACTACACTTACACTAAACTAAACCTTTGTATGTCAAAGTTGACACATTGCTGTAATTACAACAGAGTTCATACTTCATAACATTATGAAGAAACTTTGAGTTTTTCGCAGTTTATTTACTGCAATCATTACTTTTATGAGTTATCTTTCTAAGACTTGTTCCGTTGAAACAAGTTTTAACTATTAAATGCAATGGAATAATGAAAATATTTTAAAAATGAAAAAGGTAAACATTAATTTTCTACTTCCTTTTAGTGTGGGTGCGAATTTTCAATGGTGTAGTTTAATATACTTTAATTTCATTAAAATTGTATTAAGATCATCTATTTTTGTTTTGTTTATTTATACCCGAAATAATTATTAACCTTTTCGTTGAAAAAAACCAATAATGAAAAAAGTAGATCAAACGAGTTGGAAACAATAACAGTCGCTTACAGTAGCCGCTTTGCAGTCGTGGTAAATGTAGTTTTTAGTTCGAACACGAACAGTATTCGCAAAACGGTTCCCAACAGAATGGTGCAGGATCTACCTTCCAATGAATTTAACGCAAAAACACCGGCTTATTCTGTGACACAAAATTTTTATCGGGATTCAAAAAGTTTCAATAATAATATTATTGGTACAAAATTAAATGAAATAATAACTCGGTTATAGCATGAAATGATTTAATATATTTTCATTGATGTCAATGTTTTATAAAAGAAAATTTAATTTGTTAATTAATTTATCCTTTTTTTTATTTTTTCTCTTGGGATCATAAACTAATTAATAACGCGACTATTTTTTATAAGATAACATCTTTAATTCGCGTTAATATTTTAATAAATAAATAATAAAATACCAGTTAACGTGTGGGTCTAATTTAAACGACCACAAATTCATAAATAATCCTCGTTTAGAACACAACATGAACAACAAATGTCACAAAACAAATTATCATCAACACACAGCTATAAAGTTTGCCGTAACAAATAACATATATAAATAACTGAATATGTCAAGTATTAACATGTAACTATTATTTCGTTTAATTTGTTGCGATTAAGTTCTACGTTGTTGGATAATTACATCGTTAATGTTGCCGTTAGGAACGTATAACTTACACAAAGTGATTAACGCTAATCTTAATTGTAAATAAGTGACTCAAAATAACATCTTTGGGGGTTTAAGTTATTAAAGAAGAATAACCGAGTTAAATTTATCAAATAAAAAACTGGAAAAAAGTTGTGATATATTTTTAAAGATGATTTATGTATTCATATACGCCAACGAAGAGATAATTGCATTTCATTGGTATTGTCATATGCCCTTAAGTGATTTATGGACAATTACTCGTTAATGGCGATTTTTTGAATTAAAAAAACGACACGAACGGGCGACAAATTGAAGCAAATCGTAAATTGATGAAGCAATTATCGACGAGTAACGAATACTACCGAGTATTACGTATCTCTAACAGAATAATTTGCAATTTAGTAGTTTCTATTATGCTAGATGTATTTTCCACCATAAAATTTTGATGGGCTATAGATTTTCTCGTTCGTCGTGAATTGAAAATAAATTAATTATGTGTAATTGCAGTATTAAGTTGTATTCTGGGAAATGTATCGCAATAAAATAATTACTTAATGAAAAAATTATTAAATTTTACCTTGAGTTGTAAAAATGTTTTAAAAATAAAGCAAGTGATTGCTGCTATTTTCCGGTTTAAAATAAATGTAATAACTTTTTGACATAATATCGTCATGGAATTGAGTTTCATCTCCTTTCGAGGGTTTCCATTAATTCGTAATCCATGTTCAACAAATCTCTGGGATGTCAGCGAACGAGGGAGGCTTACAACTCGGCCCCCAGCGAGGTCTCCTATTGTGTATTATCCGACTTTAGAGGCTTAACAACGTTCAAAAAGATAAACTTTCTTTTATTGAAAAATTAGTAATTTCTGATTAATATTTTTTAAACAATTTGTGATTTCATTTATGAATACTAAGAAATAATTTTAAGTTAAAATTCTTTTTATAAAGGTAACGGATAAAAATAATAAATATAAAAATAAAAGTATCTTTATCTTACCTTTCTATTGTTGGGTGTACACCGAAATTGAAAAATTGGATAACCAGTTATATTAAAAAAGAACACTTAAAAATTTTCACTAGCGCGTGTACGTGTATGGCTGGAGTTCGATGAATAGCGTCGCGACGACCGCGTTCCAATCTGATACTGGTGGTCGGGCGTCGCGACGCTCTCCAAACTATATGGACGCATGCCCAAAAGCGAGCGTTTGGCGCCCAAAGGCAAAAGAGATTACCGGTAGAGAGACTACTCCATGCAGAAGATGTATCTCTCTTCGGACTGCAATCCGGATAAATATAGACTAGGACGACCACCTTAGAAATTCCCCTTTTCTTCCTGTTCGCAGCACGAAACCGGGGGCTGTCTGGCACTTTGCAGACTGTCTATTTTGGACACGCCCGAAATAGGAATCCTTTTTTTTCTAGGTGTGGGATGGAAGTTGAAAACGACATTCTGACAAAATTTATATTCGCTCGACAAGACCATTTAAGCGAGACTTTTCACTATGGGGATGCAAAATGAGATTAATGTTCATAAATTTATTACAAATTTTTATATTTAATATTTCTTCATTAACATCTCAATGCTTAAAGGAAGCTTCCTTAATAATTTTGTAACGAAACCTAATTTCCAGAAGTGTTTGGATTTATATTCTATTTTTAAGTAAAATTGGGCTGCTACGGTTATAAATTAAGCAAATTCCAACACCAACCAGGAATTAATTAAGCAGATAACTCCTGCAGCGTCTTGTCTATATCAACCTTTAGAATGTGCTATTGAACCAAGCATGACTATTATTTCCGTCCAAATCGTCTTGATTCTACGTCTTTTCATAATTGTCTGTGAAAGACGAAATCATAAAGTAGAAAACAGCTTACATTGTTACAAAATAATCCGTGGTCTGCGATGTACTTTCTCATCTATCCCAATCAATAGGGAGCATTTTTATACTGCATTTTACTGCTGTACCTGAATACATAAATTGGAAACAGCGTAGTAGAAGCGATAAATTCAAAACTATAGGTACTCGGAGACTCAGATTCAAAGTAATGATAATTTTGATTGCTATTTCTCTGTTGATTGCAAATGCTTATGAAATCAATAGACGATTCTTTTTATTTACTCTAAGATTTTTAGATTGGTGCTGAGAAATATTCAGTCAAGAGAGAAAAGCCATTAGAGATAATGGCATTGATGATGATAAACGACTCGTAGCAGTGGAAGACGGAACGTAGAAATAACGTGGATTCACATCTTTATTAGGTGTAGCGAAATTTAGTGTAACACAGGCAATCATTGGACGTTAAAAGAAAACACTGTTAATTATAATAAATGGAAAAGAAGCCACAAAGGTTAGTGCTCGACAAATTGATCTGATGGAAATAAACGCGATAAAAGAAATGTAAATCTACACATCGTTATTATTCTAACATTCAGAGGAGATGAAGACTTAAAAACTTAATAAGATAAAAAACTTAAAAGGTATCTAAACAAAATGATAAATTAACTATGGCCTAGCAATACGCAAACACTATAATTCAATTCAAATAATGAAGAATCATGAATGACCTACAACCTATCTATATTGAGACATAACAAAATTGTTAATGTTACTTAGGTTGTCTGGATTTTCTTGACTTGAGAAGATATACATGCGTTTGAACCTTATAGATTGTATTGGACGTGTTGTTGTAGAGACTCCGTAGACTTATGGTTGTTTACAATTACAATGAGGCTGCTGATTCTCTATCATAAGACTTGGAATAATAAGAAAGCTAGATGAAACTTATCTATGACAGTACTTGTGTAAGTTTTAAGATTATCAGCATGGACATGATAGTTGAACAGAACTAACTTTAATAATATCATTGATAAAAATGGAAAATACAATTCACATTAAATATTATTACTTGTATTGTCGATGGTAAAAGTAAAGTTGAATTCACGCATTCAAGATGCAGAAAAACTAATACAAAAACTTAAAAAAATGCCAGAAGAAGGTCATGATCGATTAAATCAAAAACCGATTAAAACTAGAAATACAAACAAAACCAGACGATACTTATGAAAAGCGCACTTTTTATTGTCAATATGTGATTACAAACTGTTCCTCGAAATATATACAATGCAATAACTAAGGGAACAAATATCACCAGGAGAAGCAAATGAATTTATCATGAAAATAATTAAACATAAACTAAATTTTGTACCTAGAAGTTACGTAGTAGTTGCGACCGGTCGGAATAACATAGGTTAAAAATTATGTAACTCTGGTATCAGCTCGTTCAAAGTAAGCTCTTCATCATGTGATTCCGAGAGTACAACCTCTAAAAACGAGGCTTTACTACACTCGAGCTCGAGCTCTTTAATCTCATAATTTAATTAACCCAGTTGTCATGAAAATGTATGGATTTCTTTTGTCTAAGTGCCCCATGTTTATTGTATAATAATGTAGTATGTTTGTCAGCTTTTAGCTGAAAAATGATTACGTAGCATAGTTAAAACATCATCAACAAGGCATTAATTTAATAAATTAATATTTGTCAAATAGCCAGTATGTAAGACATATAGTCAATGTTTGAATAGAAGGTAATTTACTTCCGTATAGTTGGAAACTTCTGCTGAAGATTAATAACCCTACAACACCTGCCCGTTTAAATTCAACAACCATTTTATCAAAACAATGGATTAAATATTAGTACATCAGTTGCGTCATTTTATAAATATTAATAAAATTTTTCCGTATACTCAACTTAGTTTCAGATTTGGGTTTAATTGAAGCAAAAGTTTATTATTTATTTATTTTATTAGTCGATCTTAACGTGTATTGACGATATAATTTTGTTAATAGTTAGAGTATTAATAGAGTATTAATAATAATTAATGTTTTTGACAAACAGAATTATTTACATAAAAAAATCAATCAATAAATGTAATGAAATCTGTACATTTATTTTAGCAGTATTTAAACTTCTGCCAATAGTGTAGATTCTTCTGACACCACTGTTTAGTTTTGTATAAGAAAGATTTAGTCCTCCATGGGAAGTATTTAGTGTGCTGTCAACAGTATCAAGGCTTCTGTCAGAAGTAATATCTAGTCATATACAATAACAATTTGCTTTTGGTTATCGTCATCTGGGCAATCAAAATGCTATCCTTCTGTGAGTTGCAATTACTGGTTTTGGCTGTATCTAGTCCTTTATTAGCAATATCTAATCTTCCGTCAGCAGTATTTGGTCTTCAGTCAGTGGCATTTAGCCTTCTGCCAGTAGCATCTAGTCTTCTATAAGCAGTGTTTAGTTTTCCAAACATCTAATTTTCAAAACATCTGTTTGAAGATGAAGGTACAAAGTAGTAATGTAGAGATCAATAATTTTTGTAAAATATACATTTTTTGGATGTGGGGAAAGTTAATTTAGAATCGCGATCAAAGCAATGAGAAACGTATTGCAATTAAACGGAAGTGTAAGCAAATGTAGTAGAAACTACGCTGCCATCTACTGCTGTAGATATCAGAATCAGAGAAAAAGAAGAGAAGATGACGAAAAAGATTCTACTGTTTATAATGCAAAAAAAAAAATTAAGTGCAAAATGAAATTAAGTTTAATCGGACGACATGAAAAGAGAACGAGAGAACAGACAAGATGTGAAGTACAAGTTAAAAGGAAAAGATATGAAAACCGAATAAGATATAAAAATATGTATTGGCTGATAGGGAAATATTCCACCATGACGTTATATAAACTGTTGCGAAATAAGCAGGTATTAGCTATGGTGCTGCACTAGAGGAAGTAACAGCTATAAGTCAAAGATTTTAGAATAAAGTGCTACATTAGATATTAAACTCCATAGGGACCTGGAAATGGAAACCGTACACCAAATCTACTAAATCCATCAGATAATTTATTAAAAATTTTGAAGAAAAGTTACATTGTCATGTTAAAATCGAGCCCGTCCAGCTGCTTGATAATACTGAACTAGAAAGAAGATTCAGTGTAAAAAGACTAAGACTAATAAAAAGACTAGTTGCAGCTGCAAGGAGTGGTTATGAGTGTACATAAAAAGGGTGTTGTAGTTATTATCACCTTTAGTAAATTACTTTTTAAAATTACTCATTCAAGAACCTCGATACGTCGTCACACAAAAATTGAACATTCCAACATTGTACGTTATATGTTATGTTCTAAAAACATAACAATTTATGCCAAATAGATTATACATAGCGAGGAGTCAACCTAAATTTACTGCCAATAACCAACAAGAAAAATATGTCAATTTTATGGACAAAATCATCTTCAGCGACGAAGTCCAGTGTTATCATAACAGTTGTCTTAAAAATCAAACACGCCTTCTCTTTGGTATATGTTGTAGTCTGAAAGAATTGACGATAAATGGCCAATCGTGGCATAATTACCTTGCTTTTTGTACTTCAATTGTAGGTCTATGATTTTTGAGTCAAGAAATATAGTTGATATTATTACATTTTTTTATTTTTAAAAGATATTGCACGATGTAGTGTCAAAACGGTACTTTAAGTAAGATTAATTTTTATTAAAAGAAGTCTTAAGAAGTGAATATACATTTAACAAAAATTAAATGTTTATAGTATTCAGTTTCATAAATGTACACCGAACACTGTGTATACACGTTAAATTGAAATCTTTCGAAGAAGTATACGTTTCGTTCCCTTTTCGTTTCGGAACTTCTTTCCCTTGAAAAGTTGTAATTGAAGGACGAAAGTTATTTCGTATCTTTCCCACTTTTTCAAAGTGTTTAGACACAGATGTTGGTGTGCGTAAATTGATAACTTTGATCCTTCGGATGATATAAATTTATACGAATTACTCTTTAACGATTTCTCTTCGTCCGTTAGAATTTCATTTATTTCGTAACGTTATAAGTTGATAACAGTTTGTGATCGAAACAACAAACACTTTAAACAATAGTGAATGCTGTGTGTTCCATGCACCTTTTGTTTGCTTTATCTTCCCCTCCTCAAAGCTTACGAATACAAGCTCTAAATTAGATACGCATCCTGCATATTGTTACGCTACCATACTATTATATTTACACAGTAACAATTGTTTAGATAACGCGTGTTCATTGCGAATTGGAAACATCGAGTAGATATCGCTGTTTCTAT